AGTACCATTTATACTAGAGGAAGTTAGGGTTCAATTTCATATTTAGATAAATGATTATGGAATAATGGAAAAAGCCTGTCTTCCAGTCATAATAGCAATTTCTAACAGCCAGATGGTCTTGGTTGCTTTGAAATGCATATATAGGAGCTTCACATTACCAGGCTACATATGTTGTGTTGCTCAGTGACTTCCTGTATGTAGTTTAACACTTACCATCTTCATCCTGTAGGGGCTGCTGAGGATTCACCTGCTGGAGGCCCAGAATCTGATAGCCAAGGATAATCTGATGGGGGGCATGGTGAAGGGCAAGAGTGACCCCTATGTCAAGTTCAACATAGGGGGAGTTGCATTCAAGAGTCATGTTATTAAGGAAAACCTCAACCCAAAATGGAATGAAATGTATGAGGTACGAAGGATTTTCGGTTTAAGTATAATATGTTGTCTGGATTTCACTGCATGTACAGTATGTTGAACAGATGTGGGTTTTTGTTTGTTGTTAACAGGTGGTTTTGAGTGGGCACAGCGTCCAGGAGATCAAGTTCGAAGCATTTGATAAGGATTTAGACTCTGATGACTTCCTTGGCAGGTGTGTGTCATGTTTACTTGCCCATATTGTTTAATCATTAACTTAAATTAGTGAGCACTGATCTCTGATCACTGATCTGCTTGGTTTATAACAGATAACAGATGACTTAGCATAATTTTGCTCTGAAATGCATCAGTGCATGTAAATAAATAAATCCTTATGTTTTACTCTTGCATACGTTTTACTCAAATGCAATATTTGGCTTTGAGTGGCAGGATAATATGATTATTATATGTGGGTAATAATTATTGACCTAATGTCAACCTAGGAAATCTTTATTTCTGGAAGTAAGACATTAATTTAAGTTGTTAAACATGTACCTGTTTTCATGTTCACAGGTTCAGTGTCAAGCTAAATGAGGTCATCAGATGCCAGTACACAGACCAGGTTAGTCAATAATTCATAATCTGATGTTGTGCCATGTCATTTGTGATCATTTCCTTGTATGAAGGGTGTTGTCTTGCTTCTTTAACAGACTTTGTTTCTCTTGCAGTGGTACACACTGAATGATGTGAAGTCTGGACGGGTTCACTTGATACTGGAATGGGTTCCTACAGTGTCACATTCAGTCAGACTCGACCAGGTCGGTCCTTACCCATGTTTGCAGCCCTATAGTCTACTCTGTTTATTCATTCTTTAAACTTGGTCTATTGAAGTGTCTGCAGCCTCCTAGATAATGCTGTCGAGTTACATTCCAATGCAGGGCACATTGTCAACATTGCAACATAATTATCAACCTAACTGACTGTGCTCCATGTCCCAGGTACTGCAGCTTCAGTCTCTCCAGTCTTATCAGAACAAAGCTGTCCCTGCTGCTGCTCTGCTCTTTGTCCATATTGACAGAGCACATTCATTACCTGTAAGTCAGCTGCAGTTTATTTACACACTGTGCAGTAGGTAACAATAATACCTTATATAATAAAACGTGAATGCCTCTTTCTTCCTTGATAGCTGAAGAAGAGTGGAAAGGAACCCAAAGCAGGAGCTGAGCTTGTTCTGGGTGAAACAACCCACAAAACCAAAGTGAGACTCTTGCTGCACGGTTCTGTATAGTTACTCTAATAGATAAATTTTAATGTAATAACTTTTATCTTTTCTTCACCTCTCTTAAGCTGTGTGAGCGCAGTACCAGTCCTCAGTGGAATGAGTCTTTCTACTTCCTGGTTCATGACCCAAAACATCAGATGCTTGTATTAAAGGCAAGATATTTATTTCCATTTATGTGTTTTAAGGAGCTGCGTCTCACATTTAAAATCAGTAATAATAGTGGAGTGATTTTCCTTTTATTCTCTCTCTCTCTTTTGCATCAGTTGTCCAGTGGGTGGGACCAGCCAATGGGATCTCTGGTGGTTACCGTCAAGGAGCTGCTTGCAGAGCGACAGCTGGTCATGGACCAGTGGTTCCATCTGGATGGAGCCTCACCTGAGAGTCAGATCCTGCTGAGGGCTGAACTCAAGGTGAGAAATCAAACACATCTTCCCACACACACGTACACGCACGTTATGTATTGAACAACAACTAATCAATAATAGCACTTGTTGTTCCTGTTATGAATTGGTTTTCAACAGATTCTGGATTCCAAAATGGTGGATATGATCAGTGCGGGGACTCTGCCCTGTGCTGCCTCTGGCTATGGACCTGGAAATGGGCAGGTGAAGTTGTCTCTTTCATATGCCTCACAGAAGAGAGAGCTCATCGTCCTCGTACATGCCTGCAGGTATGCTTCCGCAAGTAATGTGGCAAACAGATTGCGTTCTCACCAATGATGCACTGTTGGTATAATTTTAATCTTATTACTCGTTATTTGAGGGTTAGGTTACAGGAAATGCTCATTGTTTTTTAGAATTCTGACTTTATTACAAGTTGCTTCCCATTAGATATTATCATGGCACAACTTCAACATCTGCATCATTGAAAAGCTTACCATGCTGCTGCAGCATGTAACTTCATATAACCAGAGTATATATATGTATATCAGTTCAAAAACGTTGTCTTATTTTGCAGACAAAGTGCAGACAATATAGTTAGACATGTCTATGTGTTCTACTGAAAGGTGAGATTGTATTGACTTTACTTGGCACACAGTCCTACTGCTCAAAGTCACTATAACCTAATACAAATAGTTTCTGGTTTCTTAAATTGTAAAATACACAGACACATCTGGTTAAAGTAACATTAAAATTAGGCCTTATTTAAAAACCTATAAGCATTCCCCTTAAGAAAAAACGTAATATTTAATAAAGTGAGGACATTGTTGATGACAGCTCAGATGAAAAATAAGCATAATAATGCAATAATGTACACTTTGCACATTGCACTGTATTTACATAGAGGCACTATACTGCTCCAGCATGCTGGTACTTTTTAATATTCATAGACTTTAACATGTCAAATTATTGAAAATATGCCTTATTTTTCTGTGTACAGAGGTCTGTTGTCTCAAGGCAAGGATGGTGTGGACAGCTATGTCTCCCTCATGCTGCTACCTGACAAAAGCAAGGCCACCAAGAGGAAGACAGCAGTGAAGAAACGAGATCTCAATCCAGAATACAATGAAAGGTAGTTAACTAATTGCCTTTATGTACTTATCTAGGCTTTTTTATTTTATTTAATCTATTTAGTGTTCACATTTAATCATCATTGTAAATTTCTTAAAGGTTTGAGTATGCTCTGCCTTTGGATGAGACAAGATTCAGACGCCTCAGTGTATCAGTAAAGAATAACTCGGCCTCATTCAGGAGCCGCGACGTCATTGGACAGGTCAGTGTGAGACTGTACTTTACCTCTACCGGCATCTTTGATATGGCTTAAATGTTCCGCATCACACACACACACACACACAAACACACACAGCAAGTGACAATCAGGGTATCCACAGAATGTCACATGTGACATCTCCACAACACTCACATTAAGCTATTTTGTGTTAATCCACACTTTTGTCCAGTCTGTACACTAGTGCTAGCCCAGCTGGTAACACAAATATATCATGTTTTTAAATATGTCCTTGGCTTTAAAATTCCTTCACTCTGTGTACTAACTACATGCAGAAATACTTCTTATGTGTTGATATGTCATTCCTGTTCTTTAGGTGCAGATCGAGTTGGCTCAGCTTGACCTGATTTCGGGTGTCACAGAATGGTGAGCAGAGCTACTGAACTTGAAGTGACAGTCTTCAAAGAATATTTAGTGTCAAATGGAAACAGTGGCTGCAGAAGTTCATAGTTCCCCAACTAACAGAGAACAGAGGCTGTGGTCAGCTTGCATTAATACAATTACACCATACATAGAGACTTCTCAAACCAATCCTAAAGCATGAACCCTTGTCCACTATCCTTCTATATACGTTCAGTTCAAACACTGTTTCACAAAAATCTGTCTGATTTGTGTGTCTGACACTGCCTCCAGTGGAGCACTGAGGAGGACGAAGCTGTGTATTTAGCCTATTTTGAAGAATCTGAGACTATTTGTAACATATTTAGTATACAGTACGTATGGACAGCAGAGGCGTGTATTATTCTGTAGGAGTAGTTAGACAAGTTTCTGTGGATGATTTGGGTGGAGTGTCACTTAAAGGGCCAGTGTGTAGCATTTATGAGGATCTACTGGCAGAAACAGAATATAATATTCAAAGGTATTTTTTTAAATTACTTTAAGTCACCTGAAAATAAGAATTGAGATATGAGAAAATGTTTCCTTTTCCATGGAGGCCGCCATGCTGAACGGCCATGTTCCTACAGTAGCCTCAAGGGAACAAACCAAACACTGGCTCTATATAGGGCCTTTCACATTTCTATATATAGTTTCTCCTCTAATCTTTGAAGGCTTAGCTGCATTCAAATGGTTGTAATCACCACTTGACTGTGCACTTGTGTTCTTGTTTTCATTTTTTAATTGTTTAATGATCACCAATAATTAAGTCATTGCAAGTGATTGAATTTACTTTTCATTTAATTTCCATGTCTCTGTTTTATTCCAGGTTCACTCTGAAAGATGAGGCTGAATAGTCGTTCTGCTTTCTGATGTCGTCATAGTACAGTGATGATGACATCATCACTTGACTTGGCATTGTGCCACTGCTGCAGCTCACACTGATGCCTTCCCACCTTTACATACAGTCCCACTGTAGCAGCCTTACCTGCATCCACCCAGCTGTCTGTGTATTAACATATAGTATAGAATTAGACTGCACTATATATTCATGTACATCAATACTCTCACCAAAGATAAGAAGGAGGATGAGGAAGAATAAGAAGAAGTGGAGCTGACAAGGATAAAATGTACGTTTTTAGTGATGGAAGGTCACTG